AACGTAGCCAACGACATCCTAGCCATCCACGCCCACACCCACACCCACTCTTAATTGGTACCAGCATCGACGTCATTATCGCGAGATATCTTAAAGCAAATAACATAAACTTATGTATTTAAGGTCTTTTGAACTTCGTTGTGCTAAATTCTTTTATATTTGTCATTGATTGAATCAAATATAAAACATATATTAATTCGTTTTTTTTTTCAAGCGTAATATTTTAAATATAAATAAAGAAATGAGAGTGATTGTAATTGTTATTTGAGATTTCGAGGATGGGTAAAATCGGAGAACAATATCTGTCCGTTCTCCTCCAGGTGAGATCGTTCATTATCTGAATCGTGCAAGTGATCTATACGTGTGATCAAGGCTTCAAATCTGCTATTAGCAATTCTTTTTTCTTGAGAAATCAATTTCTTATTGTCGAATTGAAATTTGTTTGTTAAAGTTTCGAACAAATGTGTATACAATAAAATATATGTCGATACATAAAAAAAAACTATTATTTCTCAATCGAAAATAAAATGTCAAGGGGAAAGATGTTAAGTTATAATCGATGTGATTAAGTGCGACCTCTTCCTTGTTTGATGTACAATCCACATTATATCTAATGATTACTATAGCACTTATTGGAGCTTGAGTTATAATCTATCGTAATAAAATTTGTGTTTTATTTGATTTTTTTATTGCACAATGTCTAATAAATCTGATCGAATTCCTCGAGTATTATCAATTCAAAGTCATGTTGTTCATGGATTTGTTGGCAATAGATGTGCTGCTTTTATTCTTCAGGTTTTTTCTCTTATTATAATCAAATTTTTGGTTTCCATATTATCAAGAAATCTTTTCAGCTTTATGGTTTTGAAGTTGATATTATCAATTCTGTCCATTTTTCCAATCACACTGGTTTGTATCTTTATTTTCCTTTTCAATATTAAATCATTTCAATTAATATTTAGGATATAAAACAGTGAAAGGTAGTCGATTAACTGCTGATGAACTTCGATCTATATTTCAAGGCTTACTAGCAAATGAATTATTAGAATATGACTATATTCTTACTGGTTTGTATTATTTTCTAATTGAATATCGAAAAATAATCTTTCTTAAAAGGTTATATGGGTTCTGGTGAATTACTACATGTAGTCGCTGAACATATTCGCTTAATCAAATCTAAATCACCTCATATTAAATATAGTAAATATAAAATATTTCGAAAAAATAAAAATTATATCTATTTTTGTTTCTTAAATATTTAGTCTGTGATCCTGTTATTGGTGACGATAATAAATTAGTAAGAATTTATTAAGTTTTTTTTTAATTTAATTTTTTGTGTTCAATAGTATGTCGATCAATCTTGTATTGAAATTTATAAAAATGAAATTCTTCCATTAGCTGATATAATTACACCGAATGATTTTGAAATTGAGTATATAATTTTATATTTGTTAATAACCGAAGACATGTTTTCTTTTTATATTAGAGTATTAATCGATAAACAAATTAATTGTACTGCCAATGATAATCAAGAAGAAATTATTTGGCAATCATTAAGAATTCTACATAATATGGGCCCATCTCATATTATTATTTCAAGTATATCAGCAGCTAAAACAGGTGGAAATCAAACTGTATTACAAATGAGAGCTAGTACAAAACTTGCAGGTTAAATAAGCATAAATATATATATATAAATTCCAATAGATGAATTTAGATAATCAATATCAAACATTCCAAATTAATTTTCCACGTTTAGAAAGTTGTTTTACCGGTACAGGTGATTCATTTTCAGCTTTAATTCTTGCATGGTATCATAAAGAAAATGATTTAATAGTAAGGAAAATATTCTTCATTATTTTTTTTTGAATAATATTTCTTAAATTTCTAGCGTGCTTGTGAAAAAACTGTTTCTATTCTTCATCAAATTTTATTAAAAACAATGGGTATGTGTTTGAATACTTTGTTATATTAGTAAATCTTTATATCCTATTTAGAAATATCTAAACCAATTAATATTCATAATAAAGTTGGTCGTGAATTATGTTTAATTGAAAGTAAAACAATTATTGAATCAGCTGAAATACTTTTTCATGCTGTTCTTAATGATAAACATATCAGTAACTAAAATATATATTTTTATTCTCGAATATGTTTGATTGATAAACTATTGTTATTTTTTTTGTATACGTATTCCATTTTAATAATCAATAATAAACCTGTTTTATTTGTCATTTTTTGAAAATGTCTAATTATAACTCTTAGGAAAATTTCTCCATCTTGTTCCCATCGCAAGTTATTCACAGAAAAAAATACCCATTCGTCATTTATTATTGTTATTGAAATATCTCTTTTTTTCTGTCTAATTGTTTTTTATGTATCTAGATTAGAATTGTAGATATGAATGGTATGTTTTCATTTTACATTCCATGATTCTTTCTTGAAAAATAAAAACATTCATTAATGATTATTTTTCTATAGTAGTAATGGTAGTAGAACTAAAAAAGCGAATCTAATAAGTAAATTTTTTCATTGAATTTCAAGGAGAAATTGCTTTTTTTTTCTTCTTTTCAACTTAATAAGATTGATTTTATCCTTGAATTTACTCTTTTACTCATGTGAATAAAAGCATATGTACAAATCATAAAATAGAACAACCTTTTCGAAAGAAAAGAAAAAAAAAAGACAAGTCAACAGACATATGATACGACTAGTTAATCCTTGAATTATCAGATCCAACCATATGCAATCATACTGGATAGGTACGCTTTACAAACATATAATTTATTTATACTTGTAAAAATTTTCGATCAATATTCTGATAAATTATAAACTTTGATGTTAGTTCAATTGATATAGATACTTAGTAATTTGTTATCAGGATTAGAAATAAAATATCGAGAGATTATAAGTTTTTATTATTATTGTATTTCATTTCATTAATAACTACTATCCTTGAATTCAAGGTTCGTTCAATATTAACTAGTTACACAGCTAATCATATCGTGCATATTATTTAATGGAAACTAATTGTTTTTTTTTTTTATTAACAAAATTATATGTTAAGACAAGGTTATATGGACTTGTTTTTTTTTCTTCATACATATATAAAACAAAACTTTTGTTATTCAATGATCTTATAGAAAATAAATAAATTTCATAATAAGAAAAGAAATGTATATTTTCATTGTATTGCAAAAATTGATACTTAATGTTTGCTTATTCTTTTCATTTGAGTTATTGGTTTTAATTGTCTCGATTCAGATAGAACATCAACTGAATGTCGTCTTGATGATGAGTAATTAGTATGAAGTCTATTATTTTCATCAGATTCATTATCAAGCGGTCTTGAATCATCAAGGTTTTGACGAAGTTGACGCCTTTTCATGATTTCAGAATTCTAATGAGTGAAGTATATATATATGAGAATAAAAAAAAAGGTATATATTTCCTTACTTTTATTGTTGAATTAGATATAGGACGTACAGATGATACATATAATTTTGAAATATTATTTATTTGGTTATTTTTTGTACTTATTGCTTGTTCTTTTGCTTGAATTTTTTGTACATCATCAGTTACATCACCTGAACGTATATAATCATAAATATGATCAAGATCTCGGTAATTTTCATCATCAGCATCTAGATCTTGTTCTCGACAATATCTTCTTGGTTTATCAATTTTTATTTTTGCATAATAACTTGAATATCTTGCAGGTTTATTTTCTTGATTATAGTCATCAGCAGTATTCGATACATTTGGTTTAAGAATATTAACATGATCAATTTGTTCTTGTTTATCATTTTCATCAGTATCAAATTCATTATTATGATCTAATATATCACATGATTTTCTATAATTATCTTTATTTAAATCTGTTGATTGATAATCAATATGAGATTCTGATCGTGATCGTTTTTTAAATAGAGGTTGTTTAGATTTAGACATATGTTTTGTTGGTGTATTTAATATAAGTGGAAAATGTATATAGGAAAATTCCGTTTCATATTGATGTATAATATGAGAGCATTTCTCCATTAAATTTATATAATCTTTATTTTTTGATATTTCACGCATATTTAAACACCGTTGAATTTTTATACCATTATTAATTGGAATTGGTATAACAAGTGTTTCAGATTTAAAACATGATGGAACTATTAATGGACATGCAAAAATAACATCTTCAATATATGGTAATAATAAACGAAATTTTGTTGATGATAAAAATGATGATTCGGAATGATTAATAGTTGATGGGGAATAAATATTTTCAAATTTTATTGAATTATTAACCAAACGAACTGATATTGGGAAACGAAAATTTGTTAATAATTCTTTTAATTGAAAAACACCTGATATATCCAAATTTTCTGAGTCTGTTAATGAATTTACACGATGATTCTTTGAATAAATTGGACTAAAAAGACCAATTTCATAAATAGATATATAAACAATATCACCTTGTTCTATTTGACATTTTAAGTATGGTTCAGATATTTTTGGTATATCATAAATATTATTTATCGTTGATTGCTTATTCAATGTTTGTGTTGGTTGAGTTTTTTTTCTTGGAAAAAAGAAACGCGATTTATTTCTTAACCATGATGTTGTTGTTGATGAAGGTGATGTAGGTTGTTCAATTATTTGATTTTCATGTTTTGATGTTTGACTACAATATGCTGAACATTGATTTAAGATTTTAATGACTTGACCGGGTTGAAGTATTTGTTTATTATCATTTAAAATAAGAAGATTTCTTTGTGAATCTAAATCCGATAATGATCCATAACAAGAATCTGAACTAGCAGAAAGTTTATTTTCATCTGGAATATATCTTTTTGTATATGCTTTACATGTACTACGAAGAAAAAATGATTGAGGCCATTTTTCAATACGAATATCTTGATTATTATCATCTTTACTATATTCAATAATAAGTAAATCAGATATTTTATGAAATGGTTCAATAGCTTGATCATTTTCATTGAGTACTTCAAAAAATCTTTCATAAGTAATTGGTATCCGACAAAGTGGTGCTAATGTTGAACGTTTTTCATTTAAATTTCTAACAATTGTACGTGTTTTAAAATAATCATCATCACTATTTTCATCCTCAAGATTTGTTGATGCAACTGTTACTAATGATTTCGATAATTTTTTCATTGTACGATATTTCGTTTTTTGTTTTGAAAGTAATTTACCTTGTGTTAATGTTAATCGATATTTATTTGAATGATGTTTATTATCATTTGATGTATAATATTCGGATAAAATTGATCGAAATTGATGAACATTTAATAATAATAATGGAATATTTTTTGATAGAAAATTTTTTATTGATAAATCATCGATATTTGATGATGATACTCGAACAATAAGTGGTAATTGATATTCTTGTTTGGCAAGAAATTGTCGTAATGCATAAGATTGGTCATTAGATGACGGAAAATAAAAACTTTGATCATTTAAAACATAATGCATGATGATTATTGTCTAAAATTTAGAAATTGAGTGATCATATGAGTCAACAAATAGATTTACTATTGTTCTTTTTTAGTTTTTTTGTTATTATTTTAAATCGTTACCGTCCTCATCGTCGTCAAACAACGAAATTAGATGGTGCATGTATGTTCTTTTATGTGTACACCTACGAAACATTTCTTCCTTCTTCGTCTCTCTCTC